AGAAGGTTATGATTAATGAGTGTTACAACTTCTGACCCATATGATATTATTAGTGATCGTGGACAAGAAACATCTTCAGTGGGATCGCAAAAGACATTATCAATATAAATTTTCAAGTGATGTTTTGGTAAAATCTCTTCCATTAAAACATAAGTACAGTTCCCTTGATAACTGTAGTATAATCCATCAAAAGTTATGTAATGAGGATCTCCCCAGCCTTCACATACACCTGAAAGAAGCAAAAAAAAAAAAAAAGTTCAAAGTCTAAAATGTATTTTAAAGAGAAACATACAAGCGACTAAAAATGTCACACATTCACAGAATAACTTACAGTCACAAACATAATGTTGGCAGCAGTAGTACTCATCATACACAAGAACTGGTTTCTTTCCATTTGCACAAGTAATCTCCTTAATGGGGGGGCATTCATATGGAACTATTTCAATTGTATTGTTCTCAATGCACTTGGCCATGGTGCAGTTGCACAGGTAGAACGTCTCATTTTGCTGAAAGAAAACAACAAAGAAAAATAGAGAGAAAAAAATCATGAGCATGGTATTTGGTAAAGCAAATGTAAGAAAGCTAGTAATTGAAAAAATGAAAATATTCAGGTGTTAGTTTCCAAGTGCAATATGAAATTGTGCAACATTAATCTACTAGAAACAGTCTTACTGTAACATTCCATTCAGGACACGTAGGTGGTGTGGGTGTCGGTGTAGGCGTGGATGCAGGAGTGGATGTAGGAGTGGTTGTGGGCTGGCACATTTCAGTCTTGTTTTGAATTTCACAAATGTCAGAACATATCATGGTGAGACATATGTTTGAACCAATGTGTTCCTTTTCAAAGATTACTTCCCCTAAATTGGTGAAAGAGACAAAGAATAATTTAAACAGTGAAAAAAGCTTCTTTAAAAAGACTAAGACATTTGTCACCATCATGAATAAAATTGCTGATTTTGTATTTGTTGATTTTTACCTGGGTTATAAGGTTTGCCATGAACAATACAAACACATCCTGTAGTTGCAGTTGTATAAGTTGTCGTTGTTGGTCCTGCAGTTGTACGAGGAGTTTGGAATGTTATGGTAGGAGTTGTTGTAGTTGGTCCTGCAGTTGTACTAGGAGTTTGGAATGTTATGGCAGGAGTTGTNGAAAATACAGTTGATACACTGTATTTGTCTCCACAAACTGTCGCTATAAATAGATATTTATTGCAACTTTCTGTTGGGATCACAGTCTCAGGAAAAGCAAACATGCAGTGTTACAGTTTTTCCCAGTCGCTTTGGTACATTTCTCAGATCAGAATTGAAATTCTAAAAAAATTACATTTTCAATCTTCACATCATTGTGTCACTTGTGCACATCAAAAACACACTTTCTCATTTCTGTGAACAAGTTCTAAATGCTTTGCTGCATCCATGCAAGTAATTATGTACAATTCTCTGCTGTTTCCTATATTATCAGTTGCTTATGTCTTGTTGATCAAAATGTAGTATAATGGGTCTCTGTTGAATAGTCTCACCTCCCACAACATTTAGGCATTAGTTCATGGCATAAGTCTTTTCATGCAAAATGGCTGAACAAGGTTTAATAATATGTCAAGAATATTTCAATACATTTCCATTAGACGTTTTTTCTAAATCTGTCCTAAGTCGGTGAATTGCTCACAGGTGAATCTTAACTTTCTCTAATGAAAGGAAATGTGTGTAGCATTACATAGATCAACCAGTGATCAACCAGTTTTCTGAAATAGCTCAAAGGTGCATCTTATGAACCATCAACTGGCAAGTATAGAGGAAGACTGCACTGTGATTCCTACAGCACTGCATGTACAGTTTTTCCTAAGGAGACTGTCCTATGTTCACGTTTCTACTTTTGGTTTTTCCTTTGTGCTATGCAGTGCTGTCTTTTCCTTCCTGTATCGCAATGACATGGTCTGTCAACAAATTACTGTACAAGCAGTAACAGCCTAAATGTGAGTCGTGTCCAGTCTCTTGCAATCAATCTAAGGGGTGTGACTCACAATTTACAATAATTGTCATCAAAACTTCAGCCATAGTATTTACATCAGAATATCTCTCCTGAGTACACTGTTATACAGACAACATGACTAAACAATTTGACTGTCTTATCCGTACACATTGATAAAAGGACTTGTCATTCTGATGGCACTGACATGTTCATTGACACAGACATTTAGTTTTGAGAGATGAACAAAGGATTTTGAGCAAGTAACTGCTTTTTGCAGGTAATCCATGGTGTTTTGCTATTCGTACATAAAATGTTTTGAGATATGCACTTAGTGGTTTGCAAATGTCGAGGATGATTCGAGAAATGTACCAAAGCGACTGAGAAAAACTGTAACGCACTCAATTTTGTAAAAACTCACTTGTCTTCGCAGGTTGGCTGTTCGGCAGGACCACAAGGCTTGTAAACTTTGTCTGATGGACAGTCACTGGCTGTTGGTGAAGAAAGGAACTCAGTTTGTTCTTTTTAAAACCCACACTGCCAACCAACTTT